TTTTTTTCAAAGTTAATAAATTTGATTGGTTTATTATAATAGTAACATGGCGATGTAGATCGGAGATCAGAAAGTCAAGTGACCCAGAAAATCTCATCTACATCCTGGTGCTGTTCAGAAACAAGAAAGGTTAGAAAGTCCGTTTTAAACTAAATAATAATAAAATTTTATAAAAAATTTTTTAAAATAAAATAAGTAAATAAATAAATATATAATATTACTTTCTCTATAACTTTTTGAACAATTCCTTGTTCTTGTTCTGATGCATATTTTCCTTTTTGGCAGTATGAGTTTAACCGATCGCAAAGATTTCTTTACAAATTTATTAATGTTTTTAACATTTATAAAAATAAATAAATATATAAACATAAAACTAAGAATTAATTAAATACTTACTCGATAGGACCAATATGTATCATACAACAAGTTAAGAAAATCTTTCCAATCTTTGCCTTTATTTTTTTTATATCGTCTCCATTCCTCTTTGGTAATTGGGTTTTGAGCAGACCCACGTGGGAACTAAATTATTTAAAATTAGTATTATTATAAATTATCATTTAATAATATAATAATAAATACTTGCCGCTGTATTAACAATTCCAATAATAGCATTAGATAGTACTGGCAAAGTAGTTTCAGGTATAGACGAACTTTGTTGCTGGCTTTGTGTAATAGTTGCAAGTGTTTGTTGTAAAGCACTTGGATTTGTTAATAATTGGAGCAATAAAGTAGTGTTATTGTTGTCCATATTGAGTAAATTTTAAAAAGTTTAGAAGAAATAAGAATAAAAAAACAATAAAATAAATCAAATGTTATTAAATATTAATATCAATTATCTAATCATTTATTATTGCAAAGCTTAAGAGTCTAATTAATATATAAATTAATTAATTAATTAATTAATTAATACTAATAATATAATATAAAAAAAATCACTTGAATGATCAAATGTAAGAACTAATTACAGATTCATAAATTGTTGTATATGAAAACATAGTAATTGATGTTATTTTGTTGCATTGGTTTAGCATTATAGAAGGTTGCATAATATATTGTTTTATTGATAAAATCTTGATATAATAAAATAAATAATACTGCAGCAGTAATATCATGAATTTTAGTTGGTAAAAGTAAGATGAGAGTTATATTAAATAATTAATTTAATTAATTTTGCTGTTTAAGAACTCGTATTTTTGCTATTAAAAAAAAACTAAATTAAAAAGAAAGAAATTAAGAAGTAAGAGAATAAAAGTATTTATATATAAATTACTGCGGTTTGACATATATTTGTATATTGAATTTTAGTTGGTAAAGTAAGATGAGAGTTATATTAAATAATTAATATAATTAATTTGGCTATTTATGAACTCATATTTTTGCTATTAAAAAAACTAAATTAAAAAGAAAGAAATTAAAGAAGTAATAACGATGAGAGAATAAAAGTATTTATATATAAATTACTGCAGCTTAATGTATATTCGTATATTGTGAGAAGAATAGATCTTAAAGGTTCCAAGTTTTCTGATACAAGTAAAAGAAAACTATAAACACCTTTATCAAATATAACTGCCTCTTTCGTGTAGATTATATGACATTTCAGTTTGTAGAACGATCAACTTGCTGGTATAATGACACCAGAACTGCAAATATATTGTATAGTATATATATAGCAAATCAATAAAATATAGAAACAAAATGTAAAGCAAAGAAAGAAAAACAAGAAAGAAAAACAAGAAAGAAAAACAAGAAAGAAGAACAAGAAGAAAAATAAGAGAGAAAAATAAAAAGAAATAAATAAATATTAGATTTGGTGAACTACGAATTCATAATTTGCAAAATATATAAAAAATATATACAATGCTTTGACATAAATATAAGATAATTAAAGGAAAGAGTAATAATGTTAAAATCAGTGCCAAATTATTTTTATATAGAATTATTTATTTATTACTGATTAACAATATAATTATATTATGATGTCACATGCATATTAAAAAAATCGTTTGTAATATTGATACTGTATGTACGTATGTATATATTAAATATGATATACAGTTAATCTAAAAAAAACCTGATTAAATCTAGTCCATGCATATAAGTTAAATATCGTATATACATATGTACGTATGACAGATATTTATATAGATTTTTTTTATTTTTTTTATTTTTTTTTAAATTTAGCAAAAATTGATTCATTTTTTCTTTACACTAAAATTATATCGAATGTACTATTTTGGTATTATTATAGAAAAACATAACTGAGTCGATTGATTTTAAAAATAAGAATTGTGCTTATATAAATTCGAGGCTAAGGTGGCAATTGACAAATAGAGTAATTAATCGATAGATAGAGTATCCAATTGATAGATAGAGTATTCAATTGACAGATAGAGTATTCAATTAACAGATGGAGTTTTTTTTTTTTTATAATTCGGCAGTTATGCCTTAGCTTTATTAGACTTTGTACAATTCCTCTAGAATATGTAAAATTTTACAACTAGGCATTTTAGAAGGTAA